AAGGGTTTGTAGGGAAGCCAACAACATTAGCAGAGGCATAGCGAAGCAGCGCTTCTGTATCGAAACTCTGAGCTGGGTCTACTCGCCCAACAAGATCGCAAGTTTTATTTGCCATACCTTTGGAATTCGGATGTATTATCAAAATTACAGACAAGTCGAAGCTGAAAGTACCGAACGAAAACTATGAAATTTAACTTAGAAAAAAAAAAAGAAAAGGGAAACAAAGTACAAAAGTCAAGAGGGAATTGGTAAAGATCAAAGGATTTGGCCTTGGAACTGTCGATACTGATATTTGTCATGTTACGATATTATGACTATATATATGCTGACGGTTGTAACCTTGGATAAGATCTTTCTCTTAAATAAATATTCATGCTCTCTCTTATTTTAGTCCTTTTTAACTGTATAATAATAATGCCAGTGATGTGATCTTCGGCCAAAAGATTGGGGTTTGTTGAAGGGATGTGTGTCTATCTTATTTATATCCTAGTTCATCTTTTATATTCTATTTCCACTAACTAGATTAGAAGTTGTAAAGATTTGGATTTAGTTTTTTCATTTTTATAGGATTGTTTCGCCATGCATACCAAAAAGTTAACAAAAAAGATACTTTGAGGACTCAAGTTTAAATTTTATCCCTTGCAATCTTTACAAATAGGGAAAATGCCCAAAAATGACCTCGTAGTATTCAAAATGGATCAGTTATAACCCCCGTTTCAACTTGACTCAACTAATGACCTTGTCGTCAAAGAATGGGTGTAATACTACCCTTTTCCACTAACAGCTACTCCCTAAAATATTTACTTTGTCAAAAAAAATCAGGATATGACACGCGTATTAATCAAACCCCCCCCCCCCTATATTTTTTTACCAGCCCCCACCTGACTTATTTCACCCACCCCTCCCCGCCTTTTACCCAAACACCAAATCAAACGACTTCCCCAAAGTTTTTCTGCTAGGGTTCACTATTTCAAGCCTTCTTCAATTTCAAATTAGATCAGGCTTCCACTCTCATTTTATACCCATTAATTTTAAACTATTTACCCTTTAATGTCCAGACCCAAACTATTTACTACTCCTACCCATGGGGCCCAAACTATTTACCCGATTAAAATAAAATAGAAGTGGAAGAAACCTGGTAAGCAGAACAACACCGAATATGAATTGGGGAAGGAAGTCAGCACGAGAGGGTTTTATAGCTGTAAATGGAGTTCCATTATTCCTCTATTTCTTCTTCTTTTCTAAACCCATTAGTTTTCTAGAGTTAACACTTGAATTCGTTTCCATTTCTATTATGGGGTTTAATTCTAAAATGATTTCTCTTATTGTAGTATTCTAGGGTTCATCATCAATGGCAATTCACACTTATTTCTCACTAATACCTTCTTCTTTCTCTTCACCCAAACTCGTTTTTGGAGATTTATTGCACAAAAATTCAAATCCACCATTAGAGGACCTTGAAGCTTGAAACTCATAACTTGGTTTGTTTGAGTTTTTAATTATTTTGATCTGATCCTATATGGGTTTGTTTGGAAAGTTGATTGGAGGTTGTAGCTAAAGTTTTAGTCAATTTGGTGGAGATTTTGTAGTAGATTTTAGAAGTTTGGGTTGAATTATAGCTGAACAAGAGAAGAAGACGAATTTGTATTGTATACTCAAATAGTATACAAATATACCATTTTGGTATACCATTCATTTCAACTATATACCATATTAGTATAGCTATATACTATATTGGTATCATATGCTAGTTGAATTATTTTTTGGTTGTATTAGCTGCATTTATTAGTATAATATTTGATTTTCTTTTAATAATAGTAATATAGTTCAATATCTTGAAATACTTTATTACATTAATATGTGGTACACTATTTTTTTATTTTTCTCTTTATGCATGTGTTATGTAATAGTAGTATAGTCATATAGTTGCCGGGAATTAACCAGTAAAACTGTATACCATGTTGGTATAATTATATGCCATATTGGTATCATATGGTAGTTTGAACATTTTTTTGGTTGTTTTGGCTGCATTTTTAAGTGAATTCTATTCTGAAATTATTTTATATGAACGTGATTTGCAGTGCTGGAAAATTTTTGTGCTTATGGATATAGATTATGTGTATTATGTAATAGTTTTTATAATTATAGGCAATTGTTGGAACGACCCATACAACTATATACCCTGTTAGTATATCGAATGAGCAAGTTGCTTTGCGAATATTTAGCTTGCAATGCGAGCATGTAATTTTCTCATACTTTGATTGTATCCTTTAATGTTTTGGTACAGTAGTATAGTCACAGATAGTTGTAGCAATATTCTAGAGCAATCATATACTCTGTTGGTATACATGTATACCATATTGGTATCATATGGTATTAGAAGTCTTTTTTGCTACTTGTATTTTATTGCATTTTCCAATATTTTATTATCATTTCTATTCTAACTAGTATATATGGAGATTTAGTGGTAGTAGATTATATTGTCTTGCTCCATCACTGGTTGGTGTTACTGCTAGTGGTAGAGTATGTACTAATATTTGTAGGGAAGGAAATCAAGGTTTGCATGGCAATCACGTGAAATTAAAAAAGGAACAAGAAATAAAGAAAAAAAATAAAAATAAAAAAATAAAGAAGGAGTCAAATTTGAGTGTGAAATAAGTTATGGTAAAAATAACAATAATACGATTTGGGCAAAAATAAATGAATAAAAGAGAAAAAAAAATAGGAAGAAAATGAGAAAGAAGAAAAGGAGAAAAGAAAAGAAAAAGGAAAAAAAGAAAAGAAGCATAGAAATAAAAAAGAAGGGAAAAGGTCTGAATTTACCCCTATACTATGGTAAATAGTTCAGAGTTATCCTCCGTTATACTTTCCGTCCAAATATAACCCCACCGTTAAGATAGTAAACAAACATACCCCTAACCCTAACAGATATCCACCGTGGCACTGGACCCATCAAATGAAATGCCACTTGGAATCCATGTCACCTCTTTTTTGCAATATCTTATTTATTGCATAAATTTACTAAATCAATAAAATTAAAAAGACATTCCCAATTCCGATGAGATTAACCACCGTCCACTATCACCTGCGCTTCCTTTTTCTCAATTCCGGTAAGGATTTCAAATCAACTAACTCACACAGACAAAAATAGGCGACGTCAAAGTATCACTACGTTAGCTTACTAAATAGATCCATGTAGATTTTGTTGGCAAACACCCACTTTCTATCATAAAAAATGTTCCTTCTCATATCTTGCTTGATTACTTTGATGGCACCATGGAAGGATTTTTAAAGAAAGCTTGAGATCATAAAATGGGCATTGTGATTTGTTGAAGTTTGAGCAGAATTGTTAGCTGGCGATTTCAGGCTTGAAGTATACCCAAATGGGTCTGTTATGTTCTTCATCAGATATTGAAGGCTTTTTTTGTTCGATGATTAAGAATTTTGACAACAACTGTGTGCCTTGTTAAGGTATGTTCGGCTATTTTAACTTTGCCAAACGATCCAATGGAAGAGTTTTTCCGAGCTTATAGTTCCGTAAACATGAGTCTACAATGCTGCTTTTTTTTTTGAGTGTTGATCCATCTATTTTTCTGGTAGAAGCTGAAACCTGAAGGAGCAAATGAAAGAAATTCAAACAATAAAAGATAAAAAAACTTGGGATATAATTAAGCAATTATCTTCAGCATTTGGGGATTAAAGATGGCATATTTATGTACGAAAAGTGACAATTGCCTCCTGAAATACGGGAAAGAAGTTGAGGTTACTCGTGGTGTGGGGAGGTATTCTTTGGGGGCTGGGGGTAAGGATGCCTGCAGAAGCGCAAGAATGGGGTTAACTGGTTTTGATTACGTGGCATGACTTGGCAGCTGACATGAAAAAAATTGGAGAGGTTAGCTGCCACAGTGTAGGGCTGTTAGAGTTAAGGGCAAATCTGAAAGTTTTGTTAACGGAAGGGGCTGAAACGGACAAAAAGTATAATGGGGGATAAATGTCAACAATATACAATAGTAGAAGGACAAATTCGGACCTTTTCCCAAAAAAGAATTGGAGAATAAAGAAAAAATTTCCCACAAAAACTACTATGGGTAGGAAATGTAATTAGTTTATGGGTAGAAAAATAAATGGGTAGACAAGGGTAAATAGGTTTGTTTTTGTGGGTAACTGTGTCAAAACCCCTATTATTTTCGGCCTATTTACTCGGTTAATCCCTTGGTTCGTTGATAAGTATGTCTGATTGTTCTAGTTCATCATATGGGTCGAAGAAGAGATGCCTTTGTGGTCTTATTACCCACCATTTTATGGCATATACTTCTGAAAATATGGGTAAGCGCTTTTTTAAGTGCCCAAAACCTGAGGTAAGTCATCTTCATTTACAGCTAATAGCGTTCTTTGAATTCTCAAAAGCTTTACTTCTAGCGTTCTTAGGATTCTCATGAAATATTTGGGTTTATTTTTGTTGTATTAATTTTAGATAAGAAATCATATGGTTATTGGGAGTGGCAGGATGATGAATTACCTCCAAGAGTTGTGATTATGATTAGTAGTCTTAAAAGAAAATTGGAAGCTGCTGAAATGCGAAGAGATACTTTGAAGAAGAAGATGGCCGATTATGATATTGTTGCTGGCATTGAGGCTCAAGCTATAGCAAAATTGAGCGAAAAAGTTGTTGAGGAGAGGAAGCTTGTTGATGCTGAGTCGGTTGCTATGCTATTGATGCCGGAAATATTGCAACATTGAGCAAAACCGTTGATACAAGCCGGATGAGCACGCTTAATGAGGATGATTTCCTAGTCAACATCATAGCATTGAAGTGCTTTAAAGGAGTCAAGATCAAGAAGGTTATATTGACAATTTAGCTATTTATGCTATTTTATAATTTGGGTCTACTTAGCTTCCTTAATGGCCTAAGGGTATTTTAGTCATCTAGCCTAAATAACACTCTAGTATAAATAGTCCATTCATCTCATTTTGACAAAATGAAACATTTTACGATGGATTGATAAACAAAGACCAAACCTTGAGGGGTTTAGGGTATCTTTTATTTCTCTTTATTTATCATGTTTTCTAGATTATCTATGTTAGGTTTATCATGTATGAGTTCATGTTCATACTCTTGGATCTTTTGTATTTGAATGCCAATTCATTGTTCTAGTTGATATACCTTCTAGGGGCTTTGGATTGCATTATTTACTTAGCTTAATCCATATTTCTTATTAATGTTCTTACTCGATTAGTGTTTATCATATGAAATTCAAAGGGGTCTAACTAGTTCATAGTTAGGTTTTTGTCAATCTCTATTTTAAACCCTAATCTTTTGGATAGATTCCGCATCATCTTGGTATCAGTATCAGAGGAGAGGTTAAAGGATATGTCTATCAATGCTTGGATTTTGTTTTGATTATCATCAAATCAGAAAATCACCAAAAAAAAAAAAATTATTTTGGGTTACTGTTCATCCGTGCTGTTTGTTCCAGAATTAGAATTTCGCTACTGTTCCTAATGTTACTGTTCGAAAAACCTTCCAAAATTCTGAAAACTTCTGAAGATTTGAGCATCGATCGATTCATAGCTCGAGTAATTCCTGGTTTAAGTTTGGATTAAGCTGGGTTTGAGCTTCTGAACCCTAAGACGCCGAACAACAGAAGCGATTTTGGGGATTTTTGCTCCGAATCGAAATTTTGAGCTCGAAATATATCGGGTATGTTCTAATCTTGTTGGTACAGCTTGATTGAGGTGAAATATGAAGTTAGCGCTCGATTACAACTGAATTCGAGCTGGTTGCTAGGGTTTTGGGTTCGAAACTTCTAACTGATTGTCGACGAGGAAGATGACACTGGGTCTTCTGATTTTGGGATTGATTCTCAAGCTATTCTGAAGCTGAATCTGAAATTTGGAGTCGATTGAAGTTTGTTTGAACTGTTTGAGTACGAAAATTTACGATATTGACTCGCCGAAGAAGATGACTTGTTCTTGCTTTGATTTCGTGTCTGCTTGCTGAGATTAGTTTCTGGGGGTTTGATTCTCTGTTTGAAAGGAGCTCATAATTCAAAATTGATTCCACTTGGTTGAGCTTTGGGAGAAATATCACTGCTGAGGCTCGAGGATGCTAAGAACACCAGTTGCAAACTTGAAGAACTTCGCGGACACTCGATTCGAGCAGCTGGTAAATCGATGAAGAACACCTGTAGAGCTAGTGATTGCAATTCATTCGTCGCAATGATTCAGGTTTGAGTTCTTCTTGCTGTGTTCTTCAAGTTCTGGGAATTGAATATAGCTTCTAATTGTTGTTGTAGTCCTAATCCATCGAGTGCATGGCGTAAGCTACTGTTGGGTTTGGTTATCTTCTTGTTGAATTCGTAAAGTCGACTCAAGATTGTTATTGGTTCAAATTACTGTTTTGTTCTTTTGGAAATTCAGCTGGGATTGTTGACTGATTTTATAAGTTTCAATTGATGAATAATGTTGTTGTGGACCGAAATTTCGAATTGAGTAATGAACAATAGCTATTATTGGGAGTGAAATCTTCAGTTGCTGAAGTTCTTGCCAATTTTTCAGCTTGTTTAGCTCTAGTTCTTGCCAGTTTGAAAAGCATTATTTGTGACTCAGCTGTGTTAGCTAAATACTGCAAAGTTTGAGTTGAGTGTTGGTTTGAAACGATCTGCTGTAAATTTATTTCAGAATTATTGAACTGGTTTGGTGAGTCGACTTGTTTTAATTCATTGCTGCCCTATGAACTCTTTAGAAATAACTTTGGTTGAATTCTGAAATTCTGGAATTAAAAACAGCTTCTGGTTTCTGAACTTCTGAGAGTGGAGTTGAGATTGTTTGGTTCAGTTATATTTTGAAAGGCTTTAAGTTGAGTTAACTGAGTTTGAGTGATTGTTACTGAAACACTCTGTTAATAGCTGTTGCATTTTGAAGAAAGGGAGAGAATTGCTTCAGGTTTGGGACAACATATGTGCTGATAAAGTCTCCTCAGCTTAGGCATTCTGTCCAGAACTTGCACCAGTTATTTGCTCCAGTTATCCGCTGAAATTGAGCAGTATTTGACAGCATTCCTGCACTATTTTGAAGCTGCAATTTCTACTAAGTTTGAGCAGAGTTCTACATTGCTTAACAGCAAAATTACAGTTGAGAAATGTTTCTGCCAGCTACTTTGTGAACCAGTTCTGCTGCTGAAGTTTGAGGAGGATTTTTGTTAAGTTGTGAGTCTCTTTTGGGCTGAAATTCATCTAGATTTTTTTCTGCAGTTTTTTGTTGTGGACTGTTTTCTGCAAGAACTGGACTGTTTTTCAACAGCATAACTTCTGCATTGCAAATATGACCAAAATTTGAAAAAAGTGTCTAGTTTTGTAGTTTCTTTTGTTTTCTTTCCTCCAGTTTGTGGTAAACCAAATTCTCAACTAAACTAACTTGATATTAGTTCATATTGAGTTTATTTCTAGTTTCTTTGTGTACTTTGTTTATTTCGTGCCAATTTTTCGTGCTTTTCTCTTTTGATTTCGTTGTGCATTGTTTGGCTCAAGTCCGTTAGTTTTTAATTGTACTTTCTTTGGTGTCACATATATTCCATTCCGAACCGATACTTGATTACCTACTTGGATTGATTTGAGAATGTTGGTTGTGAAGAAAACTTTTAGATACTCTTGTGTGGAAAAAGGCTTGAGTGGTGAGTTCAATTGAGCGAGGTCGCAAAAGCCTTTGACCTTTGATTGTAAACACGAGTGTTGAGTGACATATATATCGAGTATTACACTAAGGGAGTGAACAGTGAGGTCTTATTTTGACTAACCAACTTTCTTGCTTTAAGTTTTCTTTTGTAGGTACAAGGAGTCATAAGGGAGGGATGGATGGTTATGGCACTTCTTCTTATGAAACTAATTGTGCTCCTCCAAGTGTTGAAATCTTTTATGATGAAAGTGGGAGAAAGATAAATTTGAGGCATTATGTAGCGAATGTAGAAGGCTATGAAAGTTGTTTGGTTGCTATAAGTACTCACTATGTGACCAATTTTATTGCTTCTTCCTTTGTTGAATGGTTGGGATTGAGTTGTATTCCAAGGGAATCGCCTTGTAAATTTCGGGGTGAGTTGGTTGATAGAGGTGTGATGGTTACTATAACTAAAAGAGACTTTAAAGAAGTGGTTTGGTGTGATGTATACCCTATGAAGTATTGCCATGTACGATTGGGAAAGCCTTGGTTTCTTGATCATAATCTTCTTATTGATGTAGAATGGAATAGGTATGTGATCGATATAAATGGAAGGGGGCATTCCTTCATTCCTAAATACTTTGAGGATAAGTTGTTGGCAAGGCTAGATATTGGAAGTGGAGTTTGGAGTGCAAAGAAATTTGCAAGTCCTTCTCCTAGTCCAAGTGGAGATTATGATGCTTATACTATGCCAAGCCAAGTAGTGTCTTTTGATGCTTGTTACAATGCACCTTGTAGTGTCTTTTGATGCTTGTTACAATGCACCTTACACTTATCTACCATCCCACTACCAACACCAACTACAACCCCCAACCACATTTCAACCACCACAAGTACGTCAACTACAATCTTATCAAACTTCACCACAACCTAGACCACCACTAAATTTAGCTTCACAACATATGCAAGCACCACCAAAGAGACAATCTCCCTCCTCCACTACCCATACCACCTCACTGTTGGGCACATGCCTATGTTGTCCAGCCAAAGGCCCAATGGGCTAATCCTATTCTCTTTTGGTTTCCAATCCTATTTGGAATTGGATACGGTTTATTCTTATTTTGAGTGGGTTTTGACTTTAAGAGAAAGCACCACTCATGATCTATAAATAGGACAACCTTGGAGAATTATTCTATGCTCATTGATACAAGTCTTTGAAAGACTTAAGCACATAAGAGTGGGTTTTGAGAGAGCTTTCATCAAGAGAGAAGAGAGAAAAAAAGTATTTATTTTGCTGCAGATTTTTATTCCGACCAGCCAACTTCAAATCACGTTTTCCGATTCGTTAACCGTTGGATCGGGCTGAAATTTTGACTGAGTGTTCGTAACATCTTGGTTTTGGATTTGAACGGTGGAGATCGGATTTGGAGGCTCGTAGCATCTGATTTCGAGCCTCGAACAGCAGCTTCGTTTTTGTAGATTATACTCTTTCTTCAATTGATTAGTTGTTGCTCTTGTTGCTATTGTTGCTCCGTGTTTGGCCCTTATTGTGTAGCCAATTTGGAGAACGTTTATAACCCTCTTATTGTTATAGTGGAGCTTTTTGGATCTTTGTGATCTCGTGGTTTTTACCTTCGATTTGAAGGGTTTTCCACGTTAAAATTTGGTGTTCTTTATCTTCTTTATTTTCGGGTTTGCCTCTTCCTCGACATAACAGTGGTATTAGAGCCTTGGTTATTTATCCGGGTTATCACGGAATGGAGGCGAATATGAGCAAGATGGTATGTTTAAATGGGAGAAATTATAATATTTGGAGAAGCAAGATGAAAGACTTGTTGTTCGTGAAGAAGATGCATCTACCTGTTTTTTCAGCTCATAAACCCGAGAGTATATCCGATGAAGATTGGGATTTCGAGCACCAACAAGTATGTGGATATATACGGCAATGGGTTGAAGATAATGTTCGCAACCATATTGTGAACGAGATACATGCGAGATCATTGTGGGAAAAGCTAGAGACTCTTTATGCTTCAAAAACCGGGAACAACAAATTGTTTCTGCTAAAGCAATTGATGACCTTTAAATACAAGGAAGGCAGCCCTATCCTTGATCACATAAATGATTTTCAGGGCGTCCTTGATCAGCTATCTGGAATGGGGGTTAATTTTGATGATGAGATACAAAGACTTTGGCTTCTTAATACTCTGCCAGACTCTTGGGAAACTCTTCATGTTTCTTTGACAAATTCAGCTCCTAGAGGTAAGGTGACCATGGAATATGCCAAGAGTGGTGTGTTGAACGAGGAAGTAAGGAGAAAATCGCAGGGTTCATCCTCACAAGCAGATATCTTGGTTACAGAAGACCGGGGGAGAGATAGAACAAGAGGCTCAAGGAATAGAGGTAAAAGTAGAAGTAAGTCAAGGTCCAAATACTATAATGTTACATGCAACCACTGTGGCAAGAAAGGACACATCAAAAGGTTTTGCCGCAAGTTGAATCAAGACACTAGAGAAGGAAAGAAAGTTGAAAATAACGAGAACAATGTTGCTGCTATTGTTCAAGATGACCTTCTTTTTGCTTATGATGAAAACGTCATCAATTTGGTATCCCATGAGACGAGCTGGATAGTAGATTCTGGAGCTACCTCACATGTCACACCAAGAAAAGATTTTTTCTCATCTTATACTCATGTTGATTCTGGAGTGTTAAAGATGGGCAATGCCAGTGAAGTTTAAGGTGTTTGGTGTTGGCACAGTTTGTTTGAAAACTAATAATGGTTCAACGTTAGTTTCTCAAGATGTGAAGCATTCTCCAGACTTTCCTTTCAATTTGATCTCCGCAGGAAGATTAGACGATGAAGGTTACCATAATGCTCTCTTTAACGGCCAATGGAAGCTCACCAAGGGCTCGTTAGTAGTGGCTCGAAGAGTCAAGTCTGGTCAATTATATGTGACACAAGGCTCTATTCTTAATGACTCAATAAACCTGGTGGAAAGTGATAGTTTGTCAGAATTGTGGCATCGAAGATTGAGTCATATGAGTGAGAGAGGGATTACGCGTTTGGCTAAGAAAAGTTTGCTTTCTGGAGTAAAACAAGCAAAGCTGCAAAGGTGCATACATTGTTTAGCTGGCAAACAGAAAAGGGTTTCCTTTCATAGCCATCCTCCCTCAAGAAAGCCCGATTTATTAGAGCTAGTACACTCTGATTTGTGTGGTCCTTTTAAAGTAAAGTCAAAAGGTGGTGCACTTTACTTTGTGACCTTCATTGATGATCATTCTCGTAAGCTCTGGGTGTATCCTTTGAAATCTAAAGATCAAGCACTTGGCGTGTTTAAGGAATTTCAGGCCTTAGCTGAGAGACAGACGGGGAAGAAATTAAAATGTATTCGCACTGACAATGGTGGTGAATATTGTGGTCCCTTTGATAACTATTGCAAGGAACAAGGAATTCGTCATCAGAAAACTCCGCCCAAGACGCCTCAATTGAACGGTTTGGCAGAGAGGATGAATAGAACTCTAGTTGAGAGAGTTAGATGCTTACTTTCAGAGGCTAAACTTCCAAATACATTTTGGGCGGAAGCACTTAACACTGTTGCCTATGTTATCAATTTGTCTCATGCTGTTGCTTTGGATGGTGATGTCCCAGACAGAGTTTGGTTTGCCAAAGATGTTTCTTATGATCACCTGAGAGTTTTTGGGTGTAAAGCTTGTGTGCATATTCCTAAAGATGAGAGATCGAAACTGGATGTCAAAACTAAGCAGTGCATCTTTATCGGTTATGGTCAAGATGAGTTTGTGTATCGTTTTTATGATCCAATTGATAGTAAACTTATTAGAAGTCGTGATGCAATATTCTTTGAAGACTAAACTATTGAAGATATTGACAAAGCTGAGAAGATAGATTCTCAGAGTAATGAGAGCTTAGTTGATATTGATCCAGTTTCAATTGCTAAGGCACCTATTGCACATGAAGGAACCCAAGACAATGATGGAGATAGTGATCAAGATCAAAATGATCATCATGGTGTAGATGTTATGGATGCTCCAGTTGATGAAGTTGTGGTTGATCAGCAACCAATTCCTGCACAGGTAACTACTACGAATGCTCCTGAAACTTCTCTTAGAAGATCTACAAGGGAGAAGCAAAAATCAATGCGCTATCCTCCTGATGAGTATGTACTTTTGACTGACATGGGAGAACCTGAGAATTATGATGAAGCCATGCAAGATAATCACAAAGATCATTGGATCAAAGCAATGGAAGATGAGATGAAGTCACTCCATGAGAATGGCACATATGAGTTAGTGAAATTGCTGAAAGGTAAGAGAGCTTTATCTAACAAATGGATATTCAGAATAAAGCAAGATAACCATACATCTGCGCCTAGATACAAGGCGAGGTTAGTTGTAAAGTTTTGGCCAGAAGAAGGAGTTGACTTTGATGAAATTTTACTCCCCTGTTGTGAAGATGTCTTCTATTCGTATGGTTCTAGGCTTAGCCGCAAGTCTAGATTTAGAGGTTGAGCAGATGGATGTCAAGACTGCTTTTCTTCATGGTGATTTAGATGAGGAGATTTATATGGAGCAACCTGAGGGTTCTGTAACTAAGGGAAAAGAAAATTATGTCTGCAAATTGAAAAAGAGCCTGTATGGATTGAAACAAGCTCCAAGGCAATGGTATTTGAAGTTTGAATCTGTCATTGAAGAACAAGGGTACAAGAAAACTTCTTCAGACCATTGTGTATTCTTCCAGAAGTTCTTTGATGATGATTTTATTATTTTATTGCTTTATGTGGATGACATGCTTATTGTTTGAAAGAATAAATCCAGAATTGTCGTCCTTAAGAAGCAGTTGAGCAAATCGTTTGCGGTGAAGGACTTGGGGCCAGCAAAGAAAATCTTGGGCATTCAAATCCACCGACAAGAGATAGAAATGAGTTATTTCTGTCCCAAAAGCAATACATTGAGAAGGTACTCAAGAGGTTCAATATGACAGATGCAAAAGTGGTTAGTACTCCTCTTGCTAAATACTTCAAATTGAGTATTAGTCAGAGTCCATCTACTGATGAAGAGAAAAAGGAGATGTCTCGTATTCCTTACTCTTCTGCCGTTGGTAGCTTGATGTATGCTATGGTTTGCGCTAGACCAGATATTGCACATGCCGTTGGCACTGTTAGCAGATTCTTTCCAATCCTGGAAAAGAACATTGGGATGCAGTAAAATGGATATTAAGGTATTTAAAAGGTACTGCAGATTTGAAGCTGTGCTTTGGCAATGGCAAGCCTGAACTTGTTTGTTACACAGACTCTGATTTAGGAGGCAATCTTGATAATTCAAGATCCACTTCCGGTTATTTGATCACTTTTGCAGGGGGAGCTGTTTCTTGGCAATCTAGACTACAGAAGTGCATAGCTCTATCCACCACAGAAGCCGAATATATTGCTGTCACAGAAGGTGCCAAAGAACTATTATGGATGAAGGAGTTTATTAATGATCTTGGCTTTGAGCAGCCACGGTACATCTTATTTTGTGATAATCAGAGTGCTATCTGTCTCACCAAGCACTCCACTTTTCATTCTAAGACCAAACATATAAATAGAAAGTATCATTGGATAAGAATGGCCGTGGA